TAAATTGCCATTCCCGGTTCTGTATTTTATTTATTAATGCATTTTTAATAATATATGGTTAATAAAAATCTATTTTAAGCTTACAAACAAATAAATTTTAGTTTTTAATATAGTATAGAAAAAAGTAATCTAAATTTACGAATGCATGTACTGTACTGTAAATACAGAACATACTCGTATATATTTAATATGATTTTATGTGCTTTAAACATTTTTATATAGTGATATTACGACTTCAATATTTGTGGCGGACAGACGTAAAGTCTAATAAAATGACTTAAACTTGATTTTTATTTTTCCATATACTTTTTGATATACGACATATATGCGGGAACAAAGTAACTCGAAACGACGTAAGTCGAGGTATGCCTGTATTTGGCCAAATACTGAATACCAAATCATGAAAAAAACTCGCATATTACTCAAAAATGAATTTATTTTAATCACAAATTATTTCATTTAATACTTAAAATCTATCAGTGGCAAGTTGTGATGAATGAAAACAATTTTTTCAGCATTTGTTGATAGCAAACGATTGCACTTTTCCTCATAAACTATATCTGCTTCTGAAAATAGCCTCTCACTATATACACTACTGCCAGGAGACGATAGATAAATCTTAGCAAATTCTGTCAGGCTTGGATACTGTTTTGCATTTGCTGACCATCACTTGTAAAGGTCTGCCGTCCGATGTAGGTGAATAGTTTTCATATAAAGTGATACAGTGATATTTTTTAGTAATAAGGACTATTAGTAAGACAATTTGATGTAACAATGAACAAATACTGCATGTCATGACATGATCTACTTGCAAGTAGAACAAATACGCCCACGGTGTTGTTACTGCACTCACCGCAATGAGACAGGTAACCTGTCACCTGCGAAATGTACACATATTTTGCCAAACATTCGGCTGCCAAATATTTGGCGATTCGGCCGAGAGATTAGCCGAATATTCGATATTCAGCAAAATCACTATTTGTGGCATCATTACTAAAAACACAAATTCACACCTAAATGCTAATTCTAGCAGTAAATGAACAAAAATAAACTTTAATGTTCAAACCTTTTTTGAAATTTATATAGCTAGTATGAAGGGAGGTTGCATTAACTCTGACTATATTTCGGTTCCACAATCGTCGAAGTATTATTTACAATGTCACAAAGCATAAAAATAGTTTTTGACATCTAATTATGCATTTAGCTTTAGGCAATGTAAAGAAAACAATTTTCCTTATCAAACATCGTTTATACGTTAAAGCATCCGGCTAACTTTTACAACACCATATATTATTTTATTAATGAATTTATTTATAGCTTTTAGTTAAAAAAACAATTTATTTATATATTGTAATATGTAATGATCTTTGTATTCAAAAGCGTTTAAATGTTTAAAAATTAGAACAGCTATATTCGAAAACTAAAACTTTTCAAAAGATAGAACTGTTTTTTCTGTTGTATACATTTTTCCTGACAAGGGCCTCTGAAAGACAGCTGAAAACATTTGAACATTAAAGTTTATTTTTGTTCATTTAATGCTGGAATTAGCATTTACGTGTGAATTTGTGTGTTTAATTTATTACTTTTTACAACAGATAGTTTGCTAGGTACAACTAGTTAATAATAATTTATTATTATTATTATTAACTAGTTGTATCTAGCAAACTATCTGTTGTAAAAAATTCTTGGTAAATTACAAATAAATAGAGAAATTAAAATGCAAATGTATTACTAAATTTTATGTAAATAAATTTAAGATTTATAAAATTTCTTGATATACAGCATCTTTTGTGTAAGTACTTGAAAGTTGGATGTTCATTTCTGCATGCAAATTAAGTTGATTACATTTAATCATATATAGTTTTTCATGTCTCATTTGTCCACCTGTAATAGTTTCTCACTTAGGCATCATTTTATTCAAAACAAATGACATCAGTTCTCCTGATCAGAATTTATTTTACAATGCTTTTTCTGTTCATAATATAAAATTAAAAAGTAATCAAAAATTGAGAAATATGATATTAATTTTGATATTAATGAAAGAATGTTAACTCTAGAAGTTATTTTCAGAAGCATTTTTATACTGGATTGAGTAAGTTTTATAGCCAGAATGGCAGAAATGAGCACTGTTATGCCAAGAGTGAAATTGGGCATATTTTTGATTGTAATTATTTCAAATGAAATTAAACTGTAGAATAGATGCAGTAGGGCTTATCTACATTAAATAAGTTCTAGTATTTTAGAAAACAAATAAAGATAATTAATAGTAAGACAAAATGAAAATGCTGCTATTTAAAACAAAGCAAAGAAAATTAAGAAAGAATTAAAAATAGACAGATAGTACTTAATTGTTTAATGGACATCTTGATGTTTTTTGACTTATTGTGGATCAAACTTTGACATTTCATAGGGGCCTAAAATATCTGACATATTTGAGATTGCAGATTTTTCTGGTAAATACAAAACAAGCTGTACCTATCAAAAAATGATAGTAGAAGAAAGAAAACCTGTTGTTCATTTGATAAAATTGGTAATTTTATTATAAAAATCTATCAAAAAAGATGAGAAGAAATAAGAAATTGATATTTTACTTAAAATTATGCAGGCTTTATTGAACTATAAAATTTCTTAAATAATATTTTTTGTAAAAATTGTCATTTAATGATTTGCCATGTGTCAAGAATCTGATATCTGAAATCAGTTTTTGAATTTAGACTAGTGCCATCAAGTAAGTTAACTTGTGAAAAAATGTTTTCCATGGATAAGAATATAGTGAAAATCCACAAAACTATGTACCATTTTAATAATAAAATAAACCACTAAAATTCTGGTTACCAAACATTTTAATAAGAAATTTATCAGTTTGTTCTATTATTATTGTTAATGAGTAAATTTTGTCAATTCTTCATTCAAAATATAATCATTTTTTAGTTTTGATTCACTTCAGTCAGAAAATCAGTTATTTTTGAGGTGTTAAGATTTATCAAATGATCATAATCATTTTTGTTCACAATTAAGTTTTTGTTAAGAAAATTAGTGATTTTATTAAATGATGACAACTAAAACTAAGAATAATTCATTAATCACCTCATTTAACCCTGCGTTAGTGCACTGAGTTTTTTTTCGGCATTAGTGCAGTGGGGCGTTTGTCCACCCCGACATTTTTTTGGGTCTATAAACCATGTAAGTAAAAATTCATAAAGATTTACTCATTTATTTGGTAAAGGCATGTGTCTTTATACATATGATTATATTCAGGTATGATTACATATTATATTAGTACATAAATCCACGAAAATAAAAAACAACATTTATCAAAACTCATTACATTAGATCTTATTATTAATATTAAACCAATAGTAAAAACCTAAATTGTTTTTTAACCATTTTTGTCACTCTGATTCAATAGCTGACATTGTACTTTGGCACTCAGTGCAAATGACAAGCAACTTGCTATGTTTGGTATTTTCTCAATGTGTTTATGAAAGTCAGCCATTTTGAATTAAAATAAACTTAAATTATTTTTATTCACATTGATTATTATATCTATATTATAAATAATAAATGTGGTCACATTATAGTTATTTTTAAAATGAAAAAACTAAATAAATATTTGTGAAATTTAAAAAAAAAACGTAATTAATACTGTAAGGTGTTTGGACACCCCACTGAAAACTGTTGTTTTTCTCTTACTGGAATTTCTGCAGCATCGTAGTAATTTTTGAGCATGCTCTATACATAAAATCATGAAGCTACTGAAGAGGATACAAAGATTTCTTGCGAAATCTATGAATAGTGCAACTTTTAAAACGTCAGGGTGGTGAAACACCCCACTGCACTACCCCAGGGTTAAGAAAAATTTTAATTTGAATAGCTGCCAAAGAAATACATGTTCCATCAATAAAATGCATTTACATAGAGCTGACAATGTAAAAGCATAGGATGTTATATTATTAGATACTCAAAATTCTTTTTTGGATGCACTATTTTATTTTTCTGTAAAAAATCCACTTCTACTCAAACATTTCATGTTAATGGTCAATAAGGCCAGTGATGCTTTATTTTATTAGACACAAAAATTACTGAATTTTAAATACAAGAAGACTCACACCATTAACAGCAAACTAGTATTTAAATTGCAAATACTGCATTTTCAATATGATTAACAGATTTAGATAGAATAATATAGAATATTGTTTGTTTAGAACTGCAGTTCTCAAAGTGTGGGTATGACCCCTAGGGTTCACAAGAAGTTTTACACAATAAAACTAAAAATGCCATATTAATATTTGTTATAAATACAAAATAAATGTATTTATAACAAAAAGTTAGTGTGAAATGTGTACTTGTTTTTCATAAGCTACTGTCTCAAATCTGGACTCTATATTTGAAACACACAATTAAATCATTTTCAAGTTTAAGGTGATTACTTGCTTTTGTTTTGATGGCATTCATCAATGAGATTGGTGTTTCCCATTTTTAAACTCTCAGTGCATCTGGTTTGAAAGAGGAGGATATAAGTTAGAAAGAAAAGACCAAGTAGTAGGGGATTGCAAGCAAAAATTTCATCTGAAAGGAGGTCATGGCTTCAAAAAGTTTGGGAACTCTTAGTTTAGAATGTTTCATCTTATTTTTAAGCATGATGATTGCCTGTTAATAATATTTTGTTAAAATATTTTGTGCATTTTTTTTACAGTACCGTATTTTTTGGCGTATAAGACGACTTTTTAGCCCAGGAAAATCTCAAAAGTCAGGAGTCATCTTATACGCCAGTTGTCTTATATGCTGGAAAGTATGGTATATNTTATACTGCTATTGTCTTACTTAAATTGACATAGTATTCTTATAAACTTTATTTACATTTTATTATTGCTTAAAATTTTTATATTTAAACTGAAACATTTGATTTTGATTTTAAAAATTTTACTTTTTTACTAACTTCAGTTTTTTCATTAACAGACTCTTCAGTAATGACAGAAGTCCATTCCACAAATTCTCCTGGGGAGCCTGATGCTTCAGAAGCTGAAAAATTACAGCCATTGGAAAGTATATCTGAGTTAAAAGAAGGAGATGGTAATGTTGTGAAATTGACAACTAAAGATTTAGAAAACCTTGAAAAAATACAAGCAGAGTTAGATAATTTGACATCGTATTTTCCTCATAAAGAACAAAGTGTTGATTCTAATTTGAAATTAGATGAACAAACTAATAAACAAAAAATTTCAAGTAATGTGAAAAATGTAAAACCTGTAGTGAAAAGTCAAAATACAGAGCAGTGTAAAATAATGAATATGGTTAGTGACAATGCTTCAGTAAATAATGTGATATCTTCTACTGGAGTATCTTCAGGAATAACTAAAACTAATGATTGTACTGTAACAACTGGTGTTTCTGCTAGTTCTGAAATCAAGCAGTCATTACTGTTTGTTCCAAAGCATGTTTCAAGTACTATTCCAATTGTATTGCAAACTCAAAATTCTTCAGTTAAAAGTACAGCTACTATATCTTCTTTGCAGTCTGTCCCATGTGTTAGCAAACCAAAAGAAATGATCAAAACTGAGACAGTTCTAAATTCTGGAATCCAGTCCTCTCAAATATCAAATCCTGTCGGAAGTCATCTTACAACAATAAAAGGTACTGAAGTTAAGGTAATTGTATCACAAGCAATTAGTCCTACTCAAACAGCTTTAGTTTCAGTGCCGCAAATTAATACAAGTAATGCACTCACAGCAGCTACCTTAAAACGTACTCCAAGTTCTACAATAGGAAATCAGATGATAACTAAAGTAATAATAAAAAGTAATCCAACAACTCATCAGCCTGCAGTAACTCCTATAGCTGGATCATTAACAGCAACAAATACTGGTACTTTAATTGCAAGTGATAACTTAGGACAACAATCAACGATTTTATTGGCTAGTCCTACAAAAACATATACCATGTCAAAATCATCAGGAACTCTTGGAACACCTAGAATTATTAGATCTGTTCCCAGTACACCACCTAAACAGGTTTGCTAATTTATCATCATTCCTACAGTTTAAATATTTTATATAATTTTTATATATAGTATAAATTTTTGTTTTGTTTCAAATCTAGTATAGAATATTAAGAACATTTGAGTATAATAAATAGTTATGTATAGAATTTATTTATGATTTAAAATAGAATCAAATTTCATATAAAAAAACAAATATTTAAGTAATTTTATTATGAAAATAAAAGAACAATCTATTTTTCAAAAATATTCAATTTTTTTCAATCATGTTTTTGCTTCATACAATTGAAATAATAATAATAATTCTCTTGTTGTCACCACCTGGTCAGGGTGGGAGAGCTCAGTAATTTTACTGAACCATAGAGCAATGCTGGCTGGAGCACAAGCTCCTGGTAGGGACACCCATGCCAGTAAGGTCTGTGGGGAGAAATGAAGCTCAAACTGACCACACCCACATTCTGTGGAGATAATTTCCATGGTAGTAACCATGTTTAAGTATGATACTCACTTGGATGTTACCCAGGTTAACAAGGTCTGTGTTTGTGGGTTAGACAGTCTCACATTTGAAAAACGCCATATTCTTTCTTGGCTACTGACGACAAATGCAGTGCTGGCCCAAGCATGACAACTGCAAGTTGTGAGGAATCAACCTGGCCTTGGAGTTATGGTTGATTTCTCACAGCTGTCTTTGTGAGGAACCAGCCTTTTTGGTTTGTGGACACATTGCCTGTGGCAATGTATTCACAGAACACAAAGGCTGGAAAACCACGCCAACGGATGAAATGGACAACAGAAATGAACGAACGCAATCACAAGACTCGAAACAAACATGACAGCATACAGACAACAACTACACCATAGATTCACACAACAATATCCTTACCTCACTGTCACCGAACAAAGGGTTGTTGATCAAAAAAGAACAATTATACACAACAACCTTATCCCACAAACAACACTTGAACTTGTCAAACAGCAGGTTGCTGATCAAATACATCAACAATTATTAAATCTCTAACTGCATTATTAATTACTACATTCCACTATACCTTTAAAATGCAGTCTACTATTTTTGCCTAGTTCTCTAACGTTTTCGGTCTAATTCATAGACCTTCTTCAGGATTGATGTAAAAAATTTTAAAAATTTGAACTTTCCCAACGGTAATTCGAACAACGCACGTTCTATAATCTTCAGATATTCGATCGCGCATGTCCATTAGCTCTTTATAATGCCGTCGCTGTCCATGCCGATGCTATTCTACTTGACTCTCGAAAATTTATATTTAGCCCCTTTTCTCTGTATTTATAAATGTGCCATACCTCTGCATACTTTAGATGTCGTATATTCTTTAGATGTCTTTAGATGTATGTCTTTAGATGTACATCAACAGACAGAAACACTTAACATTAATGAAGATCACGTAACCTGTCAGGATAATACAGCAACAAACATTGATAATAGTACACATACAACAACTACCATTAATGATACTACAGACACTTCCTCATTGATCACTGATAACATAGATATAGATTTAGTTAATACACTCTCACTTATATTTCAGGAAACACTCACTAAATATACAGGCACAGATCCCACACAAAGACCACGAATACCGAAAATCAACACGTCAAAGGTAGTAAGAAAAACACTAAATTATGTAAACACTCATTTACTACCAAACTACATTCATTCAATTTCTACACTCTCAGACATTCATACATTAGTTTATGCTGGGGCAGTCACAGTAGTAACACACCATGGACTGAAAATACAATTGCAGACAGATACACAAAAAACACAATTCTATCACAAGCCTGCCTGGCAGAGAAGAATAGAAACAAATAAATGACATTAGACAGCAATTAGGCAGGCTGACACAATACACTAAAAACAACATAACACCCAAATTAAAGAAACAACTCAAAAACATTTTCAAGAAAATCAAAACACACACAAAACATGAACATCACAACACACACATTACAGAATACATCGATACACTAAAACAAAAACTCGCAGCCAAAGCACGTAGACTCAAACGATACAAAACATGTACACTACGAAAACAACAAAATAAATTATTCACAAACAATGAAAAACTTTTCTACAGACAAATCAGTACCAAAACAAACACTGATACACAGCACAGTGGCACACCAACAGAAGAAGAACTCACAACTTATTGGTCTTCTCTTTGGTCCAATGCTGTTACACACAATGCTGATGCAGGCTGGATCGAGGAGGAGAACAGAAACTTGCACAACATACCAACTATGCCCTGTGCTGAAATAAACATACACGACATTCGCTACGCTGTTAACAGAACACACAACTGGAAGACACCTGGTGTAGACAACATTCACAATTTCTGGTACAAAAAGTTTACATCACTGCACCAGGAACTAGCTAAACATCTAACACACATCATCATCAATCCACAAGACATGCCAAAATTTCTTACTCGGGGCATTACCTACATGAAACCTAAAAACAACAAAACCACAGACCCCACACAATACAGACCAATTACATGTCTTCCAACACTCTACAAATTATTGACATCCTGTATCACAAACAAAATATACAAACATGTTGAAGAACACGACATTCTTACAGAACAACAAAAAGGTTGCCGTAGAAATCACAGGGGATGCAAAGAACAGTTACTCATAGATTCAGTCATTCTACGGCAAGCACACAAACAACACAGAAACATACACATGGCATATATAGACTACAGAAAAGCATTCGACAGTGTTCCACACAGTTGGCTGCTACATATTCTACACATGTACAAAATACATCCATCACTCATCGCATTCTTCCAAAACACTATGCAGCACTGGAGAATAACACTACATCTCGGGATTCATAACACTTCTATACAAACAAATGAAATATTCATTAGGCGAGGAATTTTTCAAGGAGATGCCTTGAGTCCTCTCTGGTTCTGCCTAGCCCTGAACCCATTATCCAACATGTTAAACAACATGCATTATGGCTACAATATCAGACATGAAAAAACAACACAATTTACGCTGTCACATCTCATGTACATGGACGACATAAAACTATGCATCCACACAGAAACAACTTCATCAACTCCTACAAATCACACATTCATACACCAAGGACATACAAATGGAGTTTGGCCTAGACCAATGCAAAACGCTTCACATAGAAAAAGGGAATCCTGAAGAAAGAAGATTTTGGAAATGGAGACATTATTGAATCTATGGAAGAGGGCGAGTTCTACAAGTACTTAGGATTCCAACAGGCCAAACTAACAAAACATACACAAATAAAGGAAAGATTAATTAATGAATACCAAAGTAGGTTAAATGCTATTCTCAGAACACAGTTAAATGCAAAACACACAGTTACAGCAATAAACACATATGTTGTTCCAGTATTCACATATTCTTTTGGAGTTATACATTGGATTCACACAGATCTTAAGCAACTCCAACAAGAACAACACTTACTAAGCATAAACAACATCGTCCTAAATCCGCCACAGAAAGATTAACCCTTCCACATAAAGATGGCAGATGTGGCCTGATTGACATAGTTAACCTTCACTACAAACAAATACAGACACTGCGAGAGTTTTTCTACAAAAAACAAGAAACTTCACAGTTACATAAAGCAGTAACTCTAGCAGACTCAAATAGCACACCATTAAACTTACACTCACATTATACAGACTTGACACAACATATAAAAAGCATAGACACCATCAAGCAATCATGGGCTCAAAAGGTGCTCCATGGCAGACATCCCTATGACCTGGCCCAGGATTTTGTTGACAAAACTGCCTCAAACAACTGGTTAGCTTGGGGATGCATCTTTGGGGAGAGGGAAGGATGCATGATTGCCATACAGGATCAGGTCATGAATACTAAAAACTACAGAAAACACATACTCAAAGATACAATTCTTATAAATGATGCATGCAGAAAATGTCACATCATGCCAGAAACTATACAACACATCACTTCTGATTGCAAGCTGGCTTGTTTCCAAATATCAGTGCTTTGACTGTATTTCTCTTATTTTCATTTTTGCAGAGAAATCACACACTGCTCTACTTCAGTTTGTATTATTTTGGCTATTCCATTTGCAGAGAAGAGGGATACTACTACTACTACTACTACTACTACTACTACTGAACACATATCTTTCTTTCATGCACAGGAATATTCAGTCACATTTTGATGTATTCTGATGTATGGAGAGCTCTCTTTTCCCTGTATTGTGCACGTACATATGGACTATATGAATAAGGAATAAAAACAATTGCATTTTTGAAAGAGAAGTCTTCTTATCTTCTTTCTCTCTCTTTTTCTATTCTCATGAAGGTGTTCAATTATAACTTCAATTTTTAATTTCAGATTTTCTACACACATTTAATTTTGTGATATTTCCAAGATTGTGACTATGCTATAATCACAGACAAACAATCCATCACAACAGACCAGACATCCCATTCATTGACAAACGAAACAAAAATCACATACATCATAAACATAACTGTTACAAACACTCATAACTTACAAAAAGCAGAAATTGAAAAAATTAGTAAATATTCTTAACTTATTCACAAAATGAGGTGTTTGTGGGGAATGGATTTTTTACATATACATGCATACATGCATGAAAGACATCAGCTGTACACAAGATGTTTAGTAGGTGGAGATAAGGGTAAGGGAAAGGGGATGGAAAGAAGGAGAGAGAGAGGAGATAGACATCATCATCATCATCATCATCATCATTTTTTATTTGGCACAAAAATGTGCCACCTGGTTTTGCAAAGCACTACCAGGCAGCAGGTACAGTGAATATGTAAAATAATACAAAATGGATTGCTAGTATAACGAGATACAAATAAAGTATAGTATACAAATGAAAATAAAATACAAATACAAGTCTGCATACAGTGTACAGTAGAGGAGATAGACAGTAGAGAAAGGTAGGATCCCTCTGAGCCAACAGTATACGTATGGCTA